AGGCATCACGGTTGTCACATGTTTCTTTTTAATGCATGTTTTGCAATAAGTATTCGTCATCTACAATCTTTTGCTAAATCTTTCAAATGATAACACATTTAAAAAAAAAAAAGAACATTATGAACGCATGTACAAGTATGCTTAGATTTTCACAAACTATGAGTTTAAAAAAAGAATTGTTTGAAGTCTATTTTTCTATTTAATCACAACTTTGTCTTCTTTTGTATTTTGTTTTGTTTTATACTGATATTATCATTGGTTAAACTATTCAGCAAATTTCCCGACAAAAAATATTTCTGTTTATATCATCAGAAGAGGGAAACGCTTCTCATAAGAAATATGACTAAATAAACAAATAAACCTATGACAATTCTGTTTCTATTGGGCCGAATTTATTAAAATCCAGCCAGAATTGATCTCACTTTTTTGAAAAAACGTAGTTTTATGGGAAATATATGACAAAAACTGTAGGTGACGACTATTCATTGCATCACTCTTTAAACGTTATCGGAGCATGATTTTGTTTAAATTTATCTTTGTGCTTCTTTGTCTGTAAGAATGACGGTTTGTTTTGTTTAGCTGATGAGAGTTTTTAGATAACTTTATATGCATTCAGTAAAGTTGCAGTGAAAAACAGAAACCCCGAAGAAATTTATCGAGTTCAAATTCAGTCATTGAACACACATTCTCAATAGTGATAGTGGTAATTTTTTTAAAGTTACTAATGTTTATTTTAGTATTCCTCAACAAAATATAATCACGACATAATTTTTTTTTATAATCTGAACATATATAAAGAATTTCATATACATGTACCAAGCTAACAGGTGTTCTTGCTTGCCAAAAGTTAACGTATAAAAAAATTCTTCTAACATGTTTGTTTGTCGCACAAATACTTTCGTCAACTCTAAAGAGAACACTAAATAAAAATAAACTATTAGCGACAAGTTTATATCTAGCAATCTGATTGGTCCCCTCTGGTTGATATTAAATTGTGGTTCTTAATTCTTCATCTTCATGTCAGTGGCAAACCCAAAATCACGGAGTTGGAATAGAGTTGACGCCAGCCATCTTCCTAATCCCGCACTCTAACATTATGACGTTTTGTTCATTATTACGTATCGTCAATATTCCGTTGGCCTTTGGGCCTCGCCCGTGGCACTCAAATGTAGTGTTTTTGAATAGGCCGGATAGGCCGTATGGCAGAAAAAAGGTTAATACCTAATCAACACTGGGTTTGTCACAATATATATCACCTTCCGTTTAACAGAAGTGTTAACCCTTTTGCTGTCGTTAGTTTTATATGGTTGCATTTCGTGTGCCAGAAAATACAGCAGCTGGACGTCTGTGACGTCACATGCCCAACAATGACGTCATCCCTAATAACGTTACACTTGGGACCCATTAAAGAAAAATATTACACTGTTTACCCTTCGTTAATTTAATTAAAATGATACCAGTTTGCAAAATTAAATAATTATTGAATTCTAAGCAATGTTTTGAATATGATTTTAAGAAATAACTTAAATGACGTCTCTACACTAAATCCATTGTATGTTGGATGCGTACCAGGCTGATTGATATTTTAGTCTTAGATACATGATTTTTTTTATTAATTGTAATTGGCTTTGAACTAGCTGTCAGTAACTGCGAATACTCTCAGATCTGTACTGTGTGTACTTTTTGTTGTTAGGGATGAGGGATTGATAAATACAAGAGGGACGAAAGATACCAGAGGGACAGTCAAACTCATAGATCGAAAACAAACTGACAACGTCATGGCCAAAAATAAAAAGACAAACCGACAAATAATAGTACAGATGACACAACATAGAAAACTAAAGACTAAGCAACACGAACCCCACCAAAAATTGGGGGTGATCTCAGGTGCTCAGGAAGGGTAAGCAGATCCTGCTCTACATGTGGCACCCGTCGTGTTGCTTATGTTATTACAAATCCGGTAAATAGTCTAATTCGGTAGGTCACATTCGTGAAAAGGGAAGGGTATTGTCGTAACGACATAGGGAACATATCCGATATCATCTGTGAAACGGTTATTCCATAACGGTCAACCAACTCGTGATGGCGTCCTTAATTGTACGAAGGGATGATTTCAACTTCACCATTTGAAACTCTTGGTTTAATAGCTTCCTTGTGAGCAGCATTCCTCTATCAAGGAAATCATGATAAGAAATACAAGCCCGGGAATATCGTATCAATTGGGAGATATATACTCCGTATGCAGGCGCTGCTGGAATGTTGCTACATAGAACCCACGTCCGGTCTGTGTTTATGTTTGATGTTTTTCTGACTTGTATCGATATGATGAGGTAAGCCATTTTCAACTGATTTTTATAGTTTGATCTTATGTTGTGCTGTTTCACCACTGTCCCAGATTAGGGGAGGGTTGAGCGCTCACAAACATGTTTAACTCCGCCACATTCTTTATGTACCTGTCCCAAATCAAGAGCCTGTAGTTCAGTGGTTGTCGTTGGTTCATGTCTATACGGTATGGGTTTTTCTCATTGTTGAAGGCCGTACGGTTGCTTATAATTGCTTACATCCACTTCATTTAAAGTTTAGTGGATAGTTGTCTCATTGGCAATCATACCTCATCTCCTTATTTTTATATTCTATTTTTGAATACTTTTAGAAAAAAAGTAAAAACTAATGAGAAAAACTCTTTTACGGTAAATCCCATACCAAAATTCAAAATAGGTTTTGACAACCGGTACTTTTATTTTCTCCTGGAAACAAAACAAAATCTAAATTTTAAGATACCTAGGAGGAATAACTCTTAAACGGTACATGTCAGAACTATCGAATTCGAACTTTACCTGTATTTAATGATCCATGAGAGTGTTTTCAAATGTCAACAGATTTGGTCAAATGGTACTATGTATACATGATAATTATCATAGCGAAACCAAAGAAATACCAACTTTTAAGGGCATACGAAACAGTTACACGGGAGGTAATGACGTCGCTAACGTAAAATGATATTTTCGCGACGTCAAACTATGAATCGTATGCCCCTAAGGTAACTATAGGGGCATTACTCTTGATTTGTAATTGTAAACATGTTGGAAATAAAACCATCCGAGCTCAACCATGACCGTAAATGTAAAGCCCGGCGTTTCTGCCGTGTTAACTAAAATCATAGAGTCCCCGTGCAGATATTGAAAGTTTTTATTTGGAATAATATTATTATGTGTTTTAATATCTAATATGCGTTCGTTATATTTTTCCTTTGTATATGACAAGGAATATTGTTTCATTATGTGAAAATTCGTAGGTGAACTTCAAGTGCGGCTGCATAGCGTTAGTTATGCAGCTCGTGTGTTTTCTATACGGGATGGAATATATATAATCCAGCCGTTGTCTCTAAATCTTGAAGTCGTTATCAATATTTTTCTATCATGAAAGTGTTGTAGAATGTCCTCAAGTGAGGTCGGCAAATCCTGCGGATGCTGATCCTCTCAAGGGTACAAAAGTGTATACTTGATGTTGTTTCTCGGTGCATTTAATTGTTTAAAGTAAATTAATTGTGTTCTAGAATAAGCAGTAACAGCGTATTTTACTGTCCTAAGTTGTAACTTGGATTTCATAATCGCTTGGATCAATATTGTCCAGTACCTTGTTTGTGGCCTCTAGTATCTCATCGAATGTTAAACAAGTTCACCTGATGTTTGGCATCGAAAGTAATAAGGTAGCAGTCTCGTATGGGTTTTATAGTTAAATCGAATTAATAAAACTTGACGTATCTTTTATATGTAAATTTTAGCTTTTAACTAGTGGAACCAGAAAAAAATCTATATGGTGTCCAGTATTGCAAAGGGGCGTACCACAAATTAAAAACAATAGGACTGCCCAGGATTGAAGTTTCTAGTGTAGTATTTTTGTTGTTCCCATTTCTGATCAGATATTTTCAAGTATTTTATGCATTTAAAGGGGCACTAGCAACGAGATATATAAAAAATCTAATATATGATTTTTTTTTTGTTCAATCATTAATGATAGTGAAATAGTGAAATAATTATTCGCTTTTAGTCGCCAGTATGGTTCAGTTTTGTCAAAATAAGCTAAGAAACATTGATGATGAATTCGACCTCATTGAATCCGTATTCATGTGAACTTCAATTTAACCCCTTAGCTAGAGATGGATAACACGTGAATTGTATGTGTACAGTTATTTAAAGGAAAAGAATGTCAACATTGAAAGTGAAACAAAGGTAAATCATTTGGTTGACTGATCCGATCCACATAAAATCATTCTTATAGAGGTAAAAACGATGATAAACATATATTTTTAATCTATGATATGAAATTAAACAGACCTAGAAAAATCCAATAGCACGAGTTCGCTTAATCTATTTATATCTTTATTTATGTTTACATCGCTTATATGGTCATCGGATGATTTTGGAGGTCAACTCGATAGTTAATTAGATGGCGTCTAGACTAAAATACACACGAAACGAAGCTACGTGTTATCATGCCCATGTAACTGTTTATTTTAGACTTTTAATAGTTTGGATAAATGTTTTACATTGTTATAAATCAAATATGAGAATTTGAGTCAAATCGGTGACCATGAATTTAACAGCTAGTGCCCCTTTAAGGCCACAGGAAAGACCTTCCATACTTTACCTTTATAAGATATGTTTTCTTTCAAATATCAAATTGTCGTAGTGTAAATATAATTTTATTGTGTAAGTCTTCTACAATGCTTAACGCAATATTAATAACCTCCTTTATTTTGGATCAGCCATTTTTCATGATACATATTATGTAATTGTCTTAACCCTTCCCGTAAATAATTGCCTTTGTCGAGAATACATAATGTATCGTTCAAATCTGCCCAACTTTGAGTAAAATTAAGATCATATATGGTTACTTTTATTTGCATTATATCTGTGTGTCTTTCAACAGCTGGGAGTTAATGTTGCATTGGTTCATGGTCTACATTGTAAAGTATCTAGACTATTTTTTACCTGCAGACAAAAGACCCAAATACAGAATATCTGACATACAAATTGGCACAGAAACCAGCAACTCAGCCAATAAGCAACATGACACCGTCTCTTGCCGTAGATAGATTTAATCCAAAAAATATATTAAAACCATTTAAAGTAAGACTTCCAAAACCAAATTCAGCTGGTAGAAATGATGACAAGATGGTTATTCTATGGTGGTTAGATGACGAGCCTCATATCTTAGATCCAGAAAAAGGGGACATTATGGTGGAGGATAATGAAGACAATGTCATGATAACAGTCAACAAATTTAAAATGTAAGTGAAAAAAAGATTGATGGTTAATCTTTAATTGATTCAACTTCTTATGAAACTGTATGTGTTCAGAAAAACGTTTTAAGTTCTAAAATTTGTTCGAAAGCTGCGAAGACATGCAATGAATGTTGTTTTCCTTTTGAAAACTTAAAAACTTGGCTAATATTACGGCTATTTCGGGCGCTCGGTTGAGTGTGTAAAAGTGAGTACCTATTTTGTGTAGTTCAATCATCCTACAGTTTTCGTACGTACAATTTATGGAACGTGTGCACTTGCTTTCGTTTGTTTGCTGAATTGGATCTCCTTTTTTTCGGATTTTTATACCCTTTCAGAAGACGGTGCCAATTTTGTGAAATAGACTCATACAGTTTTCAACCCAGTTCTTTGAAACTTCACGGGAAGGTTGCACACATACTGAAATTGTGCATTTGCTATTATGATATTGTTTGAGGATTTTTTCCACATTAGGTATTTAGCCATTAACCGAAAAATTTCAAAAAAACTGTACCAATTTTGTTTACTGCATTTTTCAATCCAGATCCATAAAACTTTAAACAAATTTTGCACACGTATTAATTAAATGTGCACCTCATGAAGATGTTTAAAGATTTTCCCCCATCTTTTATAATTTATGTTTCCATAATACAAATGTTCATTATAGTGCATACTCGATTGTTTAAAAAAAAACATTCTGTATTATCCGACGAATTTAGTCATTCTGTTCTTTATTCACTGCTTACGAATAAAAACATTTCTATTGTCTTTACATTAAGTTAAACAAAAAATCCTCTTTTCTGTAATTTTGAGACATAAAACACTAACTGCAACCCTTACTTTCTTGTACAGGAAGCAGTCAACAATGAAACCAGAACATGCAGGGTAAGTAAAATGATCACTGGAATAGTAAAATGAAATAAAAGTCTACCGGTTCCAATTATATTGATATCTATGTTTTAAAACATAAAAGGTATGATCAGATAACTTTTTTGATCTCTTGAATTCGAAAATCAAATAGTATTATGAATCTTTCAAATACCATTGTTTAGATGTATAGTAGACATTTGTCGGTCATGATTCAGTATTTGCATTTCTGAATTTTGTCTTTTATATTTTGTTTCGGGTGTAAAACTACTTGCAGTTTATGCAAAAAAAAATACTTAAGGCCAGAAGGTCATAAAGACAATAATTCGACCTCCTTTGGGTCCGGATGCATGCAAGCTGTAATTTTTCACTTAGTTGGGATGGGTTGTGCAAGTATTCAGCATGTTCAGTGATTTTTAAAACAGAGAAAAAGGCAGCATTGAAAAGTGAAGCAAGGAATCCACAAGAAAGAACCATTTCCTTGACGGCAAAACGATGATTTACACATTTTTTAATATATGACATGAAATCAAACAAACCTTAGAAATAATCGTCATTATGTTTGTTTGTAATTAGTTCTACCACTTTTCTGTGGAAAGACCTATTGTATTTGTTCTGATTATTATATTTTTTCTTCTTCCGCTTAACCCTTTTCTTGCGGTATATAGTTGTTTCGCAAGGTGTTGCTTAGATTTTTTTCATATGGTATTGAATAGTTATTGCGCTTTTGAAACTCCCCCTGTTTAACCGAACACTTTTTATTGTAAGAGTAATCTCCCCAAACACTTTTTTTTTTTGTGTGCGCATCTCCTTTGCAACCAAAAAATTAGTTTTTCCAAATTGCTCGTTAATTCCTCAGGTTGTTTCGATCAATTTTTAATGAAGCGATACTGAGACTCCATATGAGAGCTGTTTCCCCTTTTGTATTTGACATAAGAGGTATTTAAAGTAACTCATGGACCGTTAGTGATAGAGACCTAGGGTATCTTGATTTGAGGTCCTTGGTCCACCAAAAAGAAAATGGTGTCAAAGTCACAGGTCAAGGTCATTATTTAAATTTTGCCCTTTGCTTGTGTGTGCATCTTATCTCATATTATAAAAGCTGGATATGAAATAATTGGTGCTAAATATTTGAGTTGTTGAGACGAGGACATGGTACATTCAGTCCGAAGCGATCTGATGATATCTTATTGGAGTAATTGCCCCTGAAATATTAAAATTTAAGGTTAATTGACTATTTCTTCAATATGGTACATGATAAAGCCATAAAGCCTTTTGCAAAATATTGGTTGACATATGACCTTGAAAGATGATAACCGAAAGTGACCTGGAGTATACCGGAAGTAGCAATTTTTGCACTTTTTTCATATATTATTTTAATAGACATATATAAAACTATCATTAGAGACCGGAAGTGACCTTCTATAAACCGGAAGTAACTTATTATCTCCCTTATTTTAGGCAAAAGTTTATAGAAACCGTATATTTTTGGAATCAGTAGGAATAAGCTATCATATGAGACTGGAAGTGACATTTTCTAGACCGGAAGTAGCAAATTATCATCTTTTTTCAGACAAAAGTATATACAAGCCATATATTTTTGAATGAGTATGGAGAACCCTATGATTGGGCGCCAATAGTAACTTTGAGTAAACCGGAAGTATTTTCTGATCAATTCTTTAAGAAATTTAGTGTGGATAGACCTTCAATTGTTGTCTGAACAATTGGATTTTAATTTATATTTAAATGTGTATCTGTTTATATCAGGCCACATGCGCATCGGCAGTCTTCTGATGTCATCTAAAAAGTAGATGACGTCTTGTCCTAACATATGAACGAAATGTTTATTTTTAGGTCTTTCCACTTTTCTGTGGAAACCAATTTGATTTTGTTCTAATTATTAATTTTTTTTCTTTCTTCTGTCTAATTTTTTTTTGCGATGTATTGTTATTAAAAATATGTCGCTTATATATTTGGTTTATGATATCGAACACTTTATCCGCCTTTAAAACTGACACTGCTTAACAGAACACTTGAATCTAATAGAAAAACAAAGGATATGGGGTATCCATCCATGACACAAAATCAGTAAATGCACAGCAAATAATTATCTCCCTGAACATTGTTTTTTTCATGTGCGGACTACTTCTTTGCTACTGTAAAAGATTACGACAAACTCATTGTACCCAATTACTCGTTATATCCTCGAGAATAGTTTTGATCGAAGAGATCTGGGCTTACGGTCATAAAACTTTCGAGTTGATTATTGTATTCAGACTCAGAAATCAACCAATGAATAACTGGATTTGGTGTTTCGAGCACAAATGTACTCCGAGTACTGAGTACAGTTTTATGACCGAAAGGCATGAAGATACCACATGAGAGTTATTTCCCTTTATGTATTCGACATAAGTGAAATGTAATAGTAACTCATAAACTATAAGTGATAGGGACCTAGGGTCTTTTGATTTGAGGTCCTGGGTCCATCAAAAAGAAAATGAGGTGAAGGTCAAAGGTCAAGGTCATGTTCTAAATTTGTTGCTTTTGCTTGTGCATGCTACTCCTAAGAAGCTGTAATATATATCGACAAAAGATTTTCAGTAAATTGTTAGTTGCAACATGTCGTAACGGGAAATTTTTTCTTTGAAACGGTACAGTTACTTTTACTAGATTTTTTCTCCCCTGGAATATTTAAAATAAGATGTATGGTAATATTACAATACATAGTAGAGACCTAAGGTCTTTTTGATATGAGGTTCTTGCTTGATGACCTTAAAATTTCCATTCTCAATTTTATTTCAATTTCACTACCAAAAAAACAGGAAGTTTACAGTGCTGTCTCCCCTTAAAACATGTATATTTAATCTAATTTTTTAAATTATTTTAATCATTCAACTTGTTTTAATTGAAAGCTAATTAACTAATTTTTACCATCAAATACAAAAAACATTATACTTTTTCACCAATTATGTAAATAAAAAGGAATTTCCTTCCATGGCTATTTTTAGTCTTGGAATAAACCCTAGTTTTTTTTATACGAAACTGTTTATAGCACCCTTTGGTCAATTATCGCGAAGGGATCCCGTTACATTTTACAGGAGTTATCTACCTGTCACTTGTTTCGGTATGTCAGTGTAACTCATAAACCGTAAGCCGTACAGACCTACGATCTTTTGATGTGAGATCTTTGAGTCATAACTTGGAAAATCAGGTCAAGGTCATAGGTCAATGTCATATTCTAAATTTTGCCCTTTGTTAGTGTGTGCATCTTCTCTCAAACTATGAAAGCCAGATACAAAAGAACTGATGCAAAATGTTTGGGTTGTTGAGAAGGAAGAAATGGTATATTTGGTCCAAAGCTATCTAATGACATCTTATATGAGTTATTGACCCTGAAATGGTTAAATTTTAGGTTAATTGATTACTTCAAAATGATACATGATAAAGCCATAAGGGTCTTTTGCAAAGGGTAATATGACATATGACCTTGACAAACATCAACCGGAAGTGACCTTGTGAAAACCGGAAGTAGCTATTTTTGCACTTATTCAAGGGAAAAGAACTCAAAACATATATATTTTGAATTAACATATAGTAACCTATCGAATGACATCAGAAATGACCTTTTGTAAACGGGAAGTAGCTGATTATCCCCCTTATTTAAAAGAAAAGTACATAGAATCCATATATTTTTGGAAACAATGAAAAGAAAGCTATCTCATGGCACGGGATGTAACTTTCTGTAAGCTGGAAGTGGCTTATTATCTCCCTTATTTTACAGAAAAGTCCCTAGCAACCATATATATTTTTATATCAGTATAAAATATCCTTTCATATGACAGCAGAAGTGACCTTATATAAACCGAAACTGTAGGATTATCTCCCTTATTTTACAGAAAAGTCCCTAGCAACAATTTATTTTTGAGATCAGTACCAAATGACCTTTTATATCACACTGGAAGTGAAATTTTCCAAACCAAAAATTGCTAATTTTGTCCCATATTTCAAGTGTAAATACATTGAAACCATATACTTTTGGAATCATTGTTTAGGTTAGCTGTTTTTTCATACCTTAAGAGTTTACTTTTACCTTTTTTGTTATCTTTCTTTTCAAAATACTAATGTCATCACGATGTAGAAGACCTCAATTTCATTCAATGTTGATTGTTTCCTATGGAACTTTTATAATTCTCGTATTTTCTTAAAGTATGGTTTAAATCAAATTAAGCAATTTGAGTCAAGTCGGAGATAATGGATTTGGCAGTTTATACGCCCCTTTAAAGAAAGATGTTAACTCGGGTGAAATTTTCTTTTAGATAATGCTGTTATCCAGCTGCGTTGTTTTCTGTAAGTTTAAAAAATAAAAATGAGTCAATTGACACGTAATGACATCATAGTTACATCGCAGCTGCATGATATGTCTACATATATACATGTATGGGTCCCGATTATATCATCCTATTCATTTATCAATAAAATTTACATTTTTTTTAAAGGATTGAAAAATGAAAATTTGTTTCATAAGAAAACGTTTTACTGAATTATATTAGGACATAAAGACAACAAATACAAATTTTGAAAAGGAGAACAGCTTAAGGATGTATTCTTCTGATGTTTCAGTCTCGTTGAAATCTCGTTCGGGAATTATTTCCAAAACATGTGATAAAAGTGGAAAAAATTAATGAATTTAAAACATATTATAATCAAACTAAACTCTATGAAAAAAATTGTGTACTTACAATAAGTAGTTTTTGAGTAATAAAATTTTCAAATTTTATAACCAATCTGGTAAGTGTCATCGGCCAAAATGTTAAGAAAATAGGTGAAGGTACAAAGAAATGATTTACCAAAAATATGTATATCCCATATCATTTTTTTCTTTTCAAAATTCTTATAAATATTTTTATAATTTTTTAATCATTGATAACAAAGAAGTTATAATAATATGCTTTTTGTTCAAAAAAAAAAAAAGAGAAAAATCTAAAATTTACAAAATTGACAGCATGGTCAATTTGACA